CCATCTTGAAGGAGAGGGTTTCCTGGGGGAGAGAGCGGCAGGTGACCAGATGCCCTGAGCTGGGGGGAAACAGCAAGGAAGGAGTGAGGTGTGGCTGGAGGGAAGAGGAGGGGTAGGAGGTGTTAGCAAACCGTTTACACTGCTCTGCACTCTCCTGCTTCACTACTAACACTCTTGGCCTTTGTCCTGATCAGCCTAAATCAAGCTGCTTCATTCTGTTTTAGAAGCTCTTGGGTAGTCCACTGTATGAAAATGGTGCGTGTGATTTATTGAACTGGTTGTAGGGTCTTTCTTTTCTCTTTAAGATTTTATTTATTTGTTTTTTAGAGAGGGGAAGGGACAGAGAAAGAGAGGGAGACATCAATGTGTGGTTGCCTCTCATGCGCCCCCTACTGGGAACCTGGCCCGCAACCCAGGCATGTGCCCTGAATGGGAATCAAATAAGCAACCCTTTGGTTCACAGACCAGCACTCAATCCACTGAGTGAGCCACACTAGCCAGGGCTTTTTTTTCCTTGTTCTTCTAAAGTACCATGAGGTATACTGTGAAAATCAGGAAGTGATTGGAGTGGGTTTAAAAGGAGGAAAAATGAAGAACAGGCCTGTTCTTAACAGTTGCAAAGCCCAGGGCAAGAGCAGAAATGGACGCTCACGTACCATATGTCTAAATAGTAAAAGTTATAAATTAAATTGACATACTGTTAAATAAAACATACACTATCATCCTACCTTGACAAATAGACCTTCATAACAATCTGGAAGGCCAGATTTGAATTTTGAATTTCAGGCTTGCAGGGGAACTCACTTTAGAGCTGCAATATGGCTCCAGCAGCAAAGGCGTCTGGGAGATGTTGAACTCTCTGTGACTGTTGAACTTTTTCTGACTGTTTAACTCTCTGTAACCTCGCTCTTGGCTGACTACCCCAAATGCCGCCCAGAGATGAATATCATGCCCCCAGGAAGGAGGTTAACGAGGTATAGTGCGAGTAACTGCCTGATGTTATCTTTTAACTTTTCTTTCAACTTAATGATACATTGTTCTCTTGGGGGGTCCACACAACTACCTGCCATCTGGTTTTGCTATTAACCCCTGCTATTTACTGCCTTTAAAAAAGGGAACCTGTTCTGGGAGGCGTGTGGATTCTTCCCAGCCTGTCACCACTGCAAGCAGCTGCTTTGCTTGTGTAATTTCTCCTAATAAAGCTCTTATGAATTTGAATAAGGCCATGTGTCAGTTCTTCAGAATCCATCCTGAATTTGGACTTTTGGACTTCCCCCCGTCAGGCGCTCTGGAGCTCTGTGCCCAGCCCATGGCCTGCCCCGCTTTTCCGACTCCTAGCTCCATTCTGCACAGAGAAGACCTCTGAAGGCGGAGTTCTGGACACTTCAGCCAGCCTGTTGAGTTTCTGTCTATGCTGCTCTTGGCCTAGGGCTACTCGGGAAGATGAACTCAGGAGAGAGGCCCAGATGGGCCAAACTAGCAGGCTGGGGACATGTGAGCAAGAAATTGAAAGGTGCCAGGTACTCAGATTGTGGGCTAGATGTGGGGAGGTGGGAGATAGACACTGGGTGGGCAGGACCCCCGATTCTGCAGACTTCCTGTCCCTTAAGGAGGAGTACAGCTGACTCTGGGGAGTCAGAGCAGGGTTCTGCGGAGCCCAAGGTACACAGCAGGGTCCCCACTTGCCCAAGTCTAAGGCTGGTGCTGTTGAAGAGCAGACGGACGATCTGCTTTGGGGAAGAAACCAACAGCATGGAGAGAGAGGGGAGGACGGAGCAGAGAGCTGGAACCAGCAGCCCAGCCAGCTGGACAGACCCCGGCTGAACAGGCGGCAGGAAGAGGTGCCTACATCAGCGGTGGACCAAAGGGGGAACTTGAATCTTAGAGAGAAGGAAACCTCAGCTCTTACCTGCTCAGAACAATAACATCTAATTAGACCACAGGGACGGAGTTTCAACAAGGAAGATACAACAAATGGTGAAGATACTATGATCTCTTCTGCTGGTCAAGGAACATGACTGTAAAGTTGGCTGCTCTCCTGGCAAGTCTGGTAGCACTGGGGATGCAGATTCCAGGCCCAGCTAGGCAGCTCATGAGAATTAAGAGGCTGAACAAGTCACTCCCCATCTCTCTGTTTCCTCATCTGTCCAATAGGGCTATTCTTGTCCAATCTCCTTCTACTGGCAAGAGATTTTATTCCTTGGCTGGATATGAAGTTTCTCTTTCAAAGCTGACTGGTTAACTCAGCAAAACCTCAATGCAACCTTCACTAAAATTGGGAAGAGAAATGGTCAAGCTCCCTCCTGTCAGATGAGCATCCAGGCAAGGAGGACAGGCTGCGAGGAGACGCAGGCTGGCCTCTCTTGGCGAGGGTGGGGAGGGACCGCCAGCACCTGTCTGTAAGCACAGAGTGAGCAGGGAACGACATCTGGAAAGTAAACTCTCGCCATCCCCACTAGTAGGTGGCCATTTGCACAGAGGACTTGTGTCATCTACATTTCACCTAGCTCCTAGGGACAGAAGCAGACAGGCAAGGGACAGGTTCCAAGGGCTCACTATATGCAGGCTGTGCTGGACACATCACTGGAGGAGAGGTCCGAGGACACACAGAACAGAAGGGGCCTTTACAGAGTAATGTGAGCGCATGTGCATGTGGGGGTTTCAACTCTAGTGACTGCTCTAACTGAGTATAAGAGCGCCAAACTTTATAGATCTGATGGAACCGCCACCAAAATTGCAGCAGGCTATTTGGAAGGAATAAATAAGATTTTTAAAAAAATGTATATGGAAAAGCAAGGGCTCTAGAATAGTCCAAACAATCATCAAAATGGTCAAAGGTGGTGAACTGACACTACCTTAGATCTAGGCTTCCTTACTACAAAGCTCCAATGACCAGGTTGGTGGGTGCTGGTATAAGGAAAGACAGATAGACCAAGGGTGAACAGAATCAAGCCCAGAAATAGAGTTCTGTATAGAGTTCACATCTATACAATTCATTGATTTTCTACAAAAGTGACAAGTTAAGATAATAGAAAAAGTGACGTTTTCTCAATGAAACTTGCTAGAACAACTAGAAATCCTTTGGGAAAAAACTGAATCTTGACCTCTCTATGACTTTATTCACAAAATTAATTTGAGATGGATCATATATCTAACCTAAAACCTCAGAACCATACGGCTTCTTAAAGATAACAGAAGACTACCTTTGCGATGGAGGAGTAGGGAAAGATCACCTTGGGCAAGTGGAATGGGGAAACTGAAACAAGACAATTAAACAAGGCCAAACAGTTTGAGCAACTTACAGCCAGCTGGTGAATCAAAGGCCATATCTCCCCTGACCAAGGACACTTGAGAGAAAGGTTTCATGCCCTTCCTCCCTAACCAAAGAATACATAGCATAAATCTCCCTGGTCCGGGAAATAGAGAACAGAGACCCAATTATTGTCATCTGTGCCAACTAAACCCAAGGACAGATAAAGTCAGGGGAACAAATAACAAAAACTCCATTAAGCCAAACAGACCCAAGATAAAAGTAACAGTCTAGCAGACCAAAAGAATAAGCCCAAACACTCCCCTAAGATTCTCACCCACAGAAGAGAGATAAAAAGCCTTCAGGACAGAGACTCAGTGCAGGCTCTCCCTAGAGCATGCCCATGCCCCTTCCCAGGGATGAACATTTAACTTCTTTCTAAACTCTACAGGTCCCCATGAGACTTACAACCAGGGGAGCAGCAGGCAGCAGCTGCTCATCCTGTGCTAAACCCCTGACCCTGTTTCCAAGGACCCCTTTCCTTTGACCTCCCCGGGAGCTGACAGCAGCCCCGCCTGGGCTCACTCCTTTCCTGTAACATTTCTAGAGAGACAAAGCAGAGTACCACCTTGACTCTCCCCTGCTGCTTCTTCCACTGTAAGCTTTCCTTTGTTTTACCGTCCCCAGCTTTAATAAATGTACTCTCAAAATCATCTGGACTCGAGTTGTGAAATCTTTCCTACATGAAGTCAAGAATGCACACCATGCGGGCTTGGCCTGAGGCAGGCTCAGTCTAGGCTGGTCCCTGTCCAGTAACAAGACTATGGCTAGATGTGGAAAAGTAGAGGCTGGAGCAGCTGGGGGCATCTCCCTCCTCCTTCACAAAGCCTTGGGGTCTCTCCATGTGGTGTAGTTCGGGCTTCCTTACAGCATAACGGCCTCAGGGTACTTAGCCTTCTTACCAGGAGGCACAGGTCTCCAGGAGCAAGGCTAACAAAGTAGATACTACACTACCTTTTATGACCTAGCCTAAGAAGTCACAGTGTCACCTTCACCACATACTATTTCTTACAGGTGAGTCAAGCAACCCACTCAGATTTAAGGGAGTGGAATGAGACTCTGTCTCATGATGTGGAAGTGGCACAAATCTAGAACAGATTGGGATGAGACGTTATTGCAGCCGTTTTTGGAAACTATAATCTGTGATGAATAAACCTGGAAAGAAAAGCAGGTGACAGAGTATACCAGACTTTGTAAGCCATGCTGAAGTTCAATTTTAATATGAATTGTGATGGGGACCCATTGGAAGATTTTAATCAAGAGAGTGAAATGATCCAATTGTTTTTAAAAATTAATTTTACCAGATGTGTAGATAAAGAATTGGTGGGGAGAGTTTGGAAGTAGAGACGGTTAGGAGGGGTGTCCAGAAGTTCAAGGGCCAGATGCGGCGGTCAGCCCTAGCCTCGGGGAGGGCACAGGGCGAGAGTGGGGGCAGGAAGGCCAGCAGGGTTCTGGTCGGTCCTGCTGTTTTGTTCACTGAGATGGAAAACAATGCAGAAGAAAGTTTGTTTTGCACATGTCAGGCTTGAAAGGCCAGGGTAGATGTACGTACGAGACTGGAACTCAGCAGATAAAAGTTTAGGCGAGAACAAACAGCATTTTAAAAGGCACAGGAGTATACCAGATACGTGTTAGCTCGAGTATCAACAATCTCTCTACTTTTCCCCTACACACCGCTGATCCCGCCAAGGGCGCGGGCCCAAGCACGCATGCGCACACCTACTCCTCCGGCGGCACCTGGGCGGAAGCCCCCTGATTGCGCACGCGCGCTGGCGCAGCGTGGCGGTCGCCAAGGAGACGCGTGGCCCAGGGCAAGCACTCAGCTCCTGGAGCCCCCGGCTAGGCGGCAGCGGGTGGTGGGCTGCCCCTCGCGCAGGTGGCGTTCCCCTGGGGGGATGGACCACTTCGGTGGGGCCGTGGCGTCCGGGTACCGCGAGGGCGCGGAGGACAGGGAGGAGGAGCTAGAGGGCTGCACGGCAGGCACAAAGGGATCCAAACTGCCTCCCATCTGCAGCGCCCCAGAGCCCACCAAACGGAAGGTGAAGAAGAAAAAGAAGAAGAAAAAGACTGAGGGGTCGGGCAAGGGGGACGGTAAGAGGAATAGCTAGTAGTGCATAAGCCTCCGCTTCCGTACCTGAGTCTTTTTCCTGAGGTCACCTACCCCTGTCCCTCACAGAGACCCCCCCATCTACCTGGGGACCACAAAAAGAAACTAATCAGTCCCAAATAGAGATCCACCCGCCCCCCACCCCCACACACACCAATTATTGCTGCACAGGGATGCCTCCCACCCCTGCTCATAAAGACCAGTGGTGTCCACAGAGACCCCAAATTGAAAATTCTCGATATCCATGGAGGCCTTCTACCCCAGACAGAAACCCCAGATACCCAGCGTTATTTCCACGGAGCCTGCCAACCCCACACAACACCTCAACTTTACAGACACCCTCTCAGCGTCCTAATCCCTCAACGGAATCGCGATCCTAAACATCCATACCTTCCCCACAGGAGTCTCAAGCCCTTCCTCTTATCATCACACGGACTTTCCCCAGGCCAGAGACACCAGGGCACTAGAGGCAGACACTCCAAACACAGACATACAGGCTTCTGCCTAGAGACGCTCCTCACCCCCTCATTTTTCAAGGGTACCTGGCCTCTGGGTGTTATGTAGACACCCAGTTAATGCGTATGAAGTAGTATCCTCCCTGCATAGACTGTCGTCCCCCAACCCTGTCCTCCCAGGCCAGCCTTCGGCTGCACACACACCACCACATCAATCACTGCTGCATACTTTTACAACCCCAAACATCCTCAGCAACGCCCCCTTATGTCAATATAACCACAAAATAAGACTGAGGTACAGCCTACAGCCCTGGCCTGGTAGCTCAGTTGGTTAGAGCTTCGTTCCAATGCACCAAGGTTGTGGGTTTTATCCCAGGTCAGGGCACATAGAAGAGTCAGCCAATGAATGCATAAATAAGTGGGACAACGAATTGATGTTTCTCTCTCCCTCTCTTCCTCTTTCACACTGACATGCACAGACACCCCCCCCCCCCAACAGTTCCTGTACACATACAACTATCTGCATGCAGCTTCTCACTCCAGTCTCTCTCAAGGACACGTTGGACCCACACATACCAACACCTGCCACAAACGCACAGAGTGCCTGCATCTCACTGATCTCCTCTTATAGAACCTCTAGATTTCTTGACAAAGGCACCAATCACCTACTTTATGGAGACAGAATAACAGTGATGCAGAGTGATGCACCTGCCCATGAGTGCTAAGTCTCCACTATCACCTGTGTGGTCCCTCCTCCAGGGCTGTGGCTGTCAGTGACTGACTCTGGCACAGCATCCCTGACCTCCAGTGTGGCTAGTCCTGGGTTCAAGTTCCTGGGCCCTGATCCCTGTGTGCAGAACTGGTACCCTTGGCAAGCTGGAGGCAGAAGGAGTGTGGCAGCCTTTCCTGTGTCAACCTTGAGTTTTGGGGAAGGAGGCAATAGGAAGATTATAATTACTTCTTCAGGTGGAATCATAATAAGAAGGCAAGAAATCAGTTCTGGAGTTTAGGTCAAAGAGCCCTGTGTGTGTCTGCAAAACCAAATTAGGAAATGTATTGTCTTTTTGGCTTAGCTTCTGACTCTAGAAATTACAGTGGTGTGTGCCTCATGCTGTCAGTGGGACACTCCAAATGTTTTTCAGGGAGTAGAAAGGTATAGGAATATTGAAAGAGGGTTTTTTTCTTATTTTTTTCTCTTTTTTGGGGGGGGGATTTCTCTTTCCCCCCCAAAGAAGAATAAGCTGATGAAAGAACAACCTACAGTTTTTATGTGCATGTTATATAATTCAGGAATTCTATTAATTTAAAAAAAAATCGAGTACAAGCCACACAGCAGTATTTCCTGGCTTGGCATAATGTTGCTTTCCACAATCGGACATGGGAAGTTTTTCTGTTGTTCTTCGTTTCTTTCATCATAAGGAAGTCTGGACTGGGGGCAGAGAGTCACGGGCTCTGGAACTGGGACGCGTCTCGGTGAGCGCGTGGAGAGTGAAGTGGGGGGCAGCGTGGCACGGTGGAAGGAACTAGGAGTCAGGCCTGCATTCAGATCTGGGCCCTGTCACTGGCCGTGTGACACTGGCAAGTTACTTGGACTTTTGGAGTCTCAGTTCCCTCTCTTGGAAAGTAGAGCTGGTAGTCTTTACCCAGAGGACCTGGCTCACATAGTACGTGCTCAGCAAACGGTTTCATCCTCCCCAGAACGACTTTACCGAAAGCAGATAGCCAGTGGGCGTGCACGAGGCTGGTGGGCTTGGCCACCTGAGCCCTAGATAAGGAGGGGCCCCACCCCCTTTTAGCTTTGGTGAGTTTGACACCGTTCCTGAGCAGGAAGGGGGCAGACATCACCACAAATGCTAACACTGCTCATCTGCTCAGCAGATAAACAGCAGAGCCGAAGCCTGAAGACTCAGCAGCTGTCTCCATCTTTGCACTCCGTCTTAAACCCCAGCAAGCGTGATGGCCCGAGGCAAGAGCACAGACAGGACAAAGAGCAAAGCAAGCTCACCCCTTCTTTCTTCCCTTCTGTAAGTCTCCCCTACTTGGCAGAAATAGAAGAGACCCTTTCAAGCCAGATCAATGAGAGTCTGCGCTGGGATGGAATTCTCGCCGACCCAGAGGCAGAAAAAGAAAGGATTCGCATATACAAGCAGAACCGGAGGAAGCGGTACCGGATTTTGGCCCTCAAGAGCTTCCACTCGGACCCCTGTGCCCAGGAGATGCCCAAGAACCTGGCCTGGCTCTCGGATCAAAACGGCGGCAGCAGGAGCGGGCAGCCCTCGGTCAAAGCCGGCTGCCCCAGTCCCTGCTTTGAAGGCAACTTTACTCCGAAGCTCCCACACCGTGATTTAGCCACGGCTCTGCCAGAGTGAAAATCCACCCCTGATACCGACAAGCTTATCTGTTATCCTCACCACCAGCTTATGTGTTGGAAAAGAAGAAGAAAAGGAAGCCAGACCGGCATCTGAAGGAAGCAGACGTCCGCTGCGTGGGGGAGGCTGACCTCCCCCTTCTCCAGCTGCCCTCGCTGGCCCCGGGACGCGGCAGTTTCTTAACATAAGCAACTCAATGAACAGAGTTCTCTTCAGAATTCCTTTTTCTCAAATAAGCTGGCATCGCTGTTACTTAATTTCTTATCACAGTTAGATGTCCATAACCGCCCCCCCCCAAAAGAAAGTGTGTAGATTATATCAATTCTAAATCTTAAGTGAATTTCACAGGTAAAACCCCACACACAGCATGCTTCTGTGGGCTCAAAGAAAACACTCCAGATATCCTGGAGATTTTTTTTCTTTTAATGAAATATACTCCCTGCCTTTATGTGGTCTTCAAAATAAGTGCGTTCCAGAACCTCATTCCTGGGAGGTTATGAGAAGTCTCAAAAGGAATATTTCTTCTCTTGGAAACATGACCCTCCCCTAACCCCCCAAAATGTCATTTCAAGCAAAGTTTTGGAGCATCAAAGAGGCCTTACTCTACTATTTGTCCCAAGTTAATGTATTTTCTTCCCTTCCCCAAATATTTACCGAGCGAGGGCCCATGTTATCTTAGTTTGTGTTCTCCCAGAAGCAGACCCTGAGGGAAGGATTCCCAGGCAAGGAGATTATTTGGGAGGTGGAAGAAAGATCAGCAAAGAGGACAAGGGGGAAGGGGAGACCGCCAATCCGGGGACACTATTAGACCGGCTAGGAGCTGGGCAGCTGGAGCTCAATCCCCCAGCGAAACACAGGCGGGATTCTCCTGCCTGCCTTTGGGGGGCTGTGGGCCGGGGCGGGGCAGGGGGTGGGTTCATTTCCTGGCGTTGCCAGCCTGCCCACACGTGGGCCTACAAGCCCATCTCTGTTGCGGGGAATCACCCTCAGACACACAGGCAGACCAAAGGTCCAAGAGATGGTGTGACGGCGTGGAGAAGGCCCCAGCCAGGGCAGGGCCTGAGAGGGACAGGGTGGAGGTCTAAGATGAGGTCCCTGCCTTCCAAGGAGTTAAAGACACGCAGGATACTAGGAGCAGTCACGCGTCAATACAAAACACCATAGACGGCTTGCTTGACAGTTAAGTGAAAGTGGTTATCCTGCCCAGCTGGCCCCCAGCTGGCCCCCAGCTGACGGGGCAACCCTCTTCTCGAGCTTCCTTGAAAGGCCAGTTACAGAGTATTCACATTTTGGCCATTGCACCCTGGCAAAATAATAGTGAAAGGACTTTTGGAAGAGCCCTGTCCCCCCTCCCTAGAATGGCTAGTGGCCACGCATGGGAGGGTCCCTGAAGCAGACAGGCATGGCCCTCCTTGCTTTCCAGCTTCAGGAGTACCTGTGGGATCAAGGATCAAGGATCAAGGAACAGGGACTTCGGACTTTGGTGTGGCTCCCGGGCGGGGGCAGTGCGGGGGGGGGGGTGCAGAAACGTGCCACAGAACCTCGCCCAGTGCCCAGGGCTCTGGGTGAAGACAACAGAGGGTGGGGCAGCTGAGCTGGCAACACCCCTGCGCTCTGATCGACCTCCTTAGTGGCTGCGGGTGCAGAGCATGGAGGGGTCCGGGGGCACACCAGCTTCAGGATTCCGCTCGGTCACTCTGTTGTCTTCCACTGGGGACAGGGGCGGGGGGCCTGGCCTGTGCTCACCTTGCTGCCAGGAGATTCCTGGGATAGGGGTTAATTTGACACCAGAGCTGAACTTATCTCTTTCCCACCATATGCTAGCTGTGTGACCTCAGGCAAATTGCTTAACTTCTCTGAGCTTTAGTTACCATATCTGGAAACCAGGATGCAAGTATCTATCTCATTGTCATGAGAACCAAATGCAGTAATTACATAGTAAGTCATATAGCAGATAGTGCCCAGCCCCAGGCAGAAGCACTCTGTTGTAAGAGTGTGCAGCAATGGTATTTCAGATTGGGGTAGCCACCCCGCCACTGGAGAGACTGTTCTGGTGATGGTGTAGAGCTCACCTTATTGAAGGGCGAGCATCGCAAAGAAACGTGCCTTCCACGGCTGGTACACCACAGAACAAATCACAGGGGTCTGGGGCAAGAGAGAACATAGGAGGAACGAAGCAAAGGTCTTCAAGCCCAGTGTTCTGGGGAGGGGGCTTTGGGTTAAACCAGAAAGTGCCTACTTGTAGCCTGCAGGCAAATGCGAGCCTGTGCTGAGGACACAGAGGAAGTGCATGGGGGGCAATGTTTCCTCAAGCCCAGAAGTGGCTCCAAGTCAAACCACCACTGGGTTAGAAGTTATCAGTTTCTACCTCACATATGCTAGGCTGTATCATCGAAGTTTTCTCTTCCCTTCCAATGGCAGGGAAGAGAAAACCCATCAAGTACTGGCTTGCTGACAAAGAGTGACAGATTCATAATGCCCACAGTCCAGGGTGACTATGGCTTCAGGCATGGCTGGATCCAGGAGGTCACACTGGGTCATCAAGATTTGTCCCTTTCTCCATATCTCGCTCCTGCCTCCTCTGTGTCAGCTTCATGTTCATGCAGGTTCTAGTAACAGGATTGTGAAGATGGCAGTGACACTCCTGTCATTCTTTGAAGAGACGAGAGGCACTCCAGTGTCCCTATCTAGTGCCCATCCCAACCCCAGAGAAGGTCTCTGTCCTGGCACGGGTCATATAGCCATCACTGGGCTGATCACAGTGGCCAAGGACATGGAGTGTTTGTTGCACAGACCTAGCATATGGAGGGGAAGTGGAGGAGTTGGGACCATCCCCCTGGACATGGGTACCTAATAGACTGTCATAGAATCTATGTAGAAGCAACAAAGAATGCAAAGCAATTCCTGAAATCAAAGCCAAGTAGACAGATTTGTCCATTCCCCTCCAGATGAAGCATTATTTGTTCTTAAAGGACTCTGAGTGGGGGTCATGGGGTGGGTTGCATAGCATGAGTTCATCGCAGCCAGCGTGGACTGCATGCCAAGCAGCCCTCAGGAACCTGGTAACTAAAGATGAATAGTGTTCTGGAGCCGTGGACCCATGAGCTGCTTTGGCACTGACTGCATCAGCCACCGAGCACTGTTTGGTGGTAATAATTGGGTTTTTGTTTTGCACCCGGTTTTGGAGGAGCCTAGTGGGTGGGTTTCAGCCTTTAGGGCTGGCCACAGAGCTGGAATGCGCCCATGTGACCAGCTCACTGTAAGACATTCCCACCATGAGTAGACTTTGAGCTTCCAACCAGTAGCAGTGGCAGACTTGGGGACAGTGTGCTCCTGTGTGAGCCTCGTGAATGTCCACCTTGGACACTGCAGGAGGACAAATTCCAGCGGTATGACAGCTTCTGTGGGCATTGGTGTGGCCACTGTTGCCATGACCTCTGCCTCCCAGCTTTGACGCCCTCCCCTTGAGCAGGGGCTGAACCTACTGACTCAGGTGAACAGGAGCATGGCAAACACGATGGGGTGCCGCTTCCGAGACGAAGTCATGAGAAGTGACTGTGTCTGGGGAAGGAGGGAAGAATCAGTCGGGGGAACGCGGGTGGAGGGAGGATGAAGCCGTCCTGCGTGGTGCTGTCACGGCGGACAAGTGTCATCACACATCTGTCCAGACCCACAGAGCGGACACGGGGAGTGACCCCTAGACCATGGACTGTAGTTAATGTGACGTGTCGGCACTGGCGCCCCAGCTGTAACAGGTGCGCCCCATCAGTGCGAGACGTGGATAACGGGAAACGGGGAGAGCGTCGAAGAGGTACATGGGAAACTTTGGTCGTTTCTGCTAATTTTTTCTGCCCTCAACTGCCCTCAATGTTTATTAATTAAAGAAAGACAGAGACATTAATTAAATGGAGAGGCTTCCATTTGGCGCATGCTCTTCTTGTCTCTTCCCCCAGCAGGCTCTCTCCCTGGGGGCCACCTACAGAAAGGCCCGTGCGCGGCAAGAAGCTGATGTCTCCCGCCAACAGCCAGTGAGTTCCTGCAACGTGCAGCAGCCCCGGGGCGGGGGGGGAGCTTGGGAGCAGGTCCACCCCATGAAGCCTTGAGAGGACCACAGCCCCGAGTGCCGCTTGGCTGCCACCTGTGAGAGAGACTGAACAAGGCGTCCTGCTAGGCTGCACCCACATTCCTGACCCATGATACCTGTGAGATTAGTAAATTGTTCTAAGCCACTAAATGTTGGGGTGATTTTGTTACACAGCAAGCAACAGCTAACCTACAGTCGGCCTCTTCCCTCGCCGCCGTCAGCTGTGCCCCTCAGCGAGGGGCTTCGCCCTTGACCCGAGGAGTGGGAAACCGCTAACCCAGCCTTCTCACCAGAAGCCACGTGTCGCCCGGGCCCCATGGACACCCATCGCCAGGGCTCACAGGAGGTCTGAACTGATTTCCAGAAGTGATGCCGTGCCCTGCGGGGTGGGGAGGCTGCTGGGGGTTTGAGTGCTAGACAAGACTGCGTGACTTCTACTTGCGATGCTTCCTACGCACTGCTGTAGAGAGCCGTTTGTGTTACGTTTTCAGAGTACATGCTTTGTGTCGGCTGTCTGCCTTGTAACCACAATGTGTCAGGCCGTCGTCTGGTTCGTAAGTCCTCCATCTCCTTTGTCCCTCACTGAGCTCTCTGAGCGGCAGGAATATCTCCACTTTACAATGCTGGCTCGGTGCCTAGCTCAAGCCACACAACTTGTGAGAGACTTGCTTTAAGGTCCCCAATAGTCTTTTTCATTATTATTGATTTTTTAGGGTGAGGGAGAGAGAAAGAAAAATTGATTTTTCTTGTTCTACTTGTTGATGCATTCATTGGTTGATTCTTTATATGCCCTGACTGGGGATCGAACCCACAACCTAGACCTATTGGGACGACACTCTGGCCAACTGAGCTACCCCACCAGGGCCTAACTGTCTTTTTAGGAAATGTTTATCAAGCAACTGCTAAACATGGTAATAGTGTTCATTGATCAGGCCCCCCCCGCCATCTGAATGAGCTGGTAGGCATTTAACAGACATGGTTTCCTTCCATCTCCACACGGCCTTTGCGGGGGGAGGGTGTTACGACCTCATTCACACGAGAGGAAACGGCACAGCGTGGGAGACCTGCCCAGGGTCACACCGAAGCTGCGGGTAGTGCCCTGACGGGCTCCGGAGTAGGTGGGAGCCCAACAGCACACCTTCTGGAGCTGAA